TCTATACCAATAGTCTTTTTCACTTTGTACTTTTTCTAGAAAAATTGCCATTTGGTGCATATATATGTAGTTTGCAAACACTGATTTGTGAGAAAGAGCAAACTAACAGGCTGGGGCGTTGCTAGAGATTTTGGGCCCCATGAAAGCATATCATATTAGGCCCCCCAGTCCAAACCAATCCAGTTATTTTCCTAATTTTTTAGGGCCCCTGTCACTCAGGGGCCCTTGGAATCGTCCTAGCTTTCCTCCCCCTTTCGGCGCCCCTGCTAACAGGTAACACTTTACCTGAGGGGGCAAGACTGCAGATGTCTAGAAATTTAGACGCATCAAATTCAGAGGTTATATACGTTTTTAAAGCCTTGCATTTATTGTTCTTTATCTCTTCAACATTGATGGGCTAATGTGCACTTATCTTAATAAATCAATGGTATTTTTTTTTTTAAAAAAGACAAATTTCACAGATGACTCATTATATTGCCAAACTGTAAGCCTTTTCATTAAAACACAAAATAGCATGATGTATCTTCTGGGTGGCTGCGGAGGTGGAAAGTTCAGGTCCAGAAAGTACAAATCCAGACCAAGGTTTTGTTTCAACCAAACAGTTGCGCTCTTTGTGACTGTGACTCTTTATGGTCAACTGGTTGGTTGGAACAAAATCTTGGTTTGGAGCTGGACTTGCTGGATCTGACTTCTCCACCTCTGCATAGGTAAGACAGTAGCATTGTAGCTTCCTGCCTCAGTGGTTGCAGGTTCAAGTCCAGCCCCATGTGAGTTGTATATGGTCTCTGCTCTGGTTACTTCTGCAATTTAACTACTATCCACCCGTTTCAGTTCATCAAACAGACATGAACTCATTTAAAATGGATTAATTTATAAGGTATTGTTATTGATTTCAAATGAATTCCCTATTTAATTTGATCAATTTTTGCTTTTTAATGATAAATTGAGGCTTTTTATCTGCTATGATCGGATAATGGTCGTTCAGTAACTTCCATCTGTAATCTATATCAATCAGCTGGATGATAAAAAATCCAGATTTACTGTGCATGTCATAATGGTTTGAAAACATTTGTGGGCGGGGGGTGAGAGGTAACTGACAAGGCGCAAACACGTGAATGTCAGTAATTTAACTGGTATTTATTGCACAATCGATGTGTAACATACGAATATTGAAAGCATTTCAGCGTCAGGGTGGAAAGTAAATCTGATCGTTTTCCTGTGTAAATGGATTGTTAAAATGGGTGTGAGATACTTTCAATAGTAATGTGCCACAATCACCAAATACCAGTCTCAGCGTTTAACCAGAACTACATTCCTCTGAAAGGTAACAGTCGCTCTAGGCAGATTTGGTGCAGTTGAACTGGCTTTGACGACCAGTCCTTTCCTGGCCATCGTTCGGTTTATGGGTCTGTTCTTCATTTTAACTGGCCAGTGTTAGATGTTTCCTGCTACACCTGACTGACCACATAATCGAACCAAAGTTTTCAGAAGTGGGTCACATAAAAGCACCTTATTATCATTGTTAATGCTTAAATACAAATATGAGGTTTTCAGTGTTCTCAGAAAGGCTCACGTATGGTGTACGATGTCATTCAAGCTAATTGAATTTAAAAACATTTATTCATTAACCCAGGCATAGCTATTCAAAGTAATATGTAAGGGCAATATTATAAGGAGTAACTGAAGAATGCCACAAAATGTCAAGTTTGAAAATGGACCAAGAATATTTTTACACCTACAAATAAGTGGCTGCATGGCGTATAAAGATATCTTTGTTTAATTTTAGTAACTGAATTGTGATTGAATTTAGAAATTATATAAGCTGTGCTGTTCCATGCATGGAGCTACAGTGCAGCATCTGCAGTGTCCAGGATTTAAAACATAGAAGTAAAATGAAGCTTTATTTGCACTGGAATGCAGATGTGCTGCCTTGCTTTCCTTTATAGACATACACATATACACTGCTGAGAGAGAAGTTTGGGGTTTGAAGCTGTGATCTTGGCAGCCCAGGGGTATTATGGTAGGTTTAGGGCCACGCTTGTGACTATAGTACAAAGGCTGGGTCTCAGACTGGTGACACTTTGATCACAGACACAGGGGTTTAAGCCCCTGAGCCACATACGACCACTGGACACGAGCAAAGCCCTGACCGTCACTCGAACCCAGCCGGCAACGGCGAGCGCACCGAATCCTAAGCATCGGACCACCAGGGAGTCACGGCACCAGCTGCACCTTCTACCACAGACAGAAATACAATTTTCAGTGTATTCTCAGCCTCCCTGCCATCCTGAAAACTGACAACCGCCACAGTCTTAAGTAGCAGTACTTCATCACACATTTACAGCAATGCCATGCTGCAAAGAATGTACAGACGCAGAAAAAATTAAGAGACCACAACACATTTTTTTGTCTCACTCAATTTATGGGTCTGCATCTGTGAATAATATATGTTTTTCATATTTGCAAACTGTTGTCTTAGAAATTTTTTACCTGGGGGCAACCTGCTGCTCAGTGTAACCTTCTGTCAGCAGGACCACGATTAATCCAGGATTTAACAATGCAGATTTGTTTAAAAATATAGAGTGGTCTCTTCATATTTTCCATGGCTGAATGTTTATGAAAAAAGTAATTGAAATACAATACTTTTTAAATACCCAGTAAATCACTATGGTCCTTATTAAATTTCTCTTTACTCTCCAGTTATTTTGGCTTGGTTTTCATTCAGCTATGGGGGGAGAAGAAGCCACTTAATACAATTTGAATTTGAAACAGTATCATCACTAGAGGGCGCCTGTCCCTCTTACCCCTCTCCACCCCACCTACCCTTTAATTTAACAGGAAACTAAAAATTACCACACACAAAAAGAGATGGAACAGAATATAGGGTGAACACCTTTTTCCTCTGGGAAAGTGACAACAGTGATGCTTGTACCATGAACAAGCACAAAGGATAATGAATCGGAAATGACACACAGTAATAAATCATGATTTTACCCGAACATTCCCAAACTGTTATTCAATATCACCAAAGTTACACCAATAAATTCACAAAAGGTGAAGTCATGCTATAGTAGGGTGTGCCTGTCCTAAAATTCCAGAATGCACATTATAGTACATCATGATTGATGTACTATATATATCCCTTCAAAACACATTGTAAGTTTATGATCTTATGTCAGTAGATGTCCCACATACATGTAAATTGCAGACAGTAGAGAAACGTAAATGCAAGCCTGTGGCAAACTGATCAGCACTTAAAACGTATGTGAGGATGATGCACAGTGAAGGGCACCAGGATTGTCCGTAATGCCTGTTTGGTGCTCTAAGTAGATGAAGCCTATTTAGATTCAACGCTAATATAAAGAACACACGAGGTGGACAAAATAGCAGAAATATCACGTTAAAATGTTCTTTAAACCGCAGCTACAAAGCCAGTCATGTTCAGTTGAATGCCAGTTAGCAGTACAGTTTATCGCAATAAAAGCTGAATCACCACTTTGATTTGAATATTCAAAGCAACATGAGGCAACTTACCTACAGAGTTCCAGAGAGTTGGCGTCCACGGAATCCAAGTGCATCGGTCACAGAAACTGCAGTATTATTCAATGTGTCAAGCGGAATTGTCACAAAAAAAGCCTGTCTGCATATGCCAGGCACAGATAAAGTGACGAAGGGAAATGGGGGTCGCAAGTCAAGCCACACAGACAGGAACAGACACTTAACAGGACAGATAATAGTTAATTACCTCAGATCTGAATCAGCACCTCTGTGACCCAGCTTCAACAAATGTTGTGTTTTACAAAGCAGGAATTTAAGGCAGGGCTGCAGTTTGGAAATTGTTTGCGTCCAAGGCTTATGTGCAAAGTCATATAACCAGGTGTACAAAACCTGGACCCCAGAGTAATATAAAAAAAAATATATGGTTTGATAAGTTTCCCTACATCCAGATGGGTATATGTTTGGCCAAAGGATACATTCCACCCAGTATCTATTGGTATGTGTAGCAATTTTGTGGGACCCATTATGTGAAATGATCGTCATGCATGGTCGTATAATGGCCAAGAAATATGAAGACACTTTCCAGGACCGTGTAGAGCCTATGCTGAAAATGCTGTTCCCTAATATCCCCATATTCCACAATGGTAATGCCCCCCCACACACTAGTTAATATAATCATCATGCACATCATAATGAAGTCAAATGCCTTCCATTGCCTCCACAATCCATATCCAAACACCCCTGAACCCACCACGCTCAAATAACTGGAGGTATTTTTTCTTCAAGAATGGTTCAACAACCTACAACACACAGTTCAAAACATGCATGAGAGCATTCCAAGCAAGGCTGTTCTGACAGAAAAAAGTGGTCCTATTCCTTATTTGGTCATTTATATCTGTATATATTGTTTGGTGTTTCGATTATTTTGTAAAACGCATTTATATCTCATAAATCTTGACATTGGCGTAACTAGGTAACTGGCAAGCCTCAATTTGAAAACGCAATTTTGGCATTTGTCCACAAGAGGGTGCAATGCACAAAAATCTCTGAGGGTGTGAACCTGGTTATGTTCACAAGATTTAACAATAGTGAGCCTAGGATTAACATGATTTGTGCACGGTTTGCATAACGTTTGAGAAACTCGCATATTTTAAAACTATTTTCGCCTGCAAAATGTACACGTGGTCCTGCATTAGAAAAATCGTCAGCATTGATTCCAACTTATACACATTAGTGAGATCGTAAAAGATTAGAAAAAAACAAACCCGTCTGTAAGATTGTGTGTACTGTGTCCTTTATAACAGCTGTGTTACAGTTGATTCAAAAGACAGTAAAATATCCCATTTGTCATTCTTTCCCTCCATTTTCGGTTTAAAAAGCACTATGCCGGCACTATGCGGGATGGGGCGCCGGCCACGCCCCCTGTGGGAGGAGCCTTTTTCCGGGCGTGCTCGCGCATTACCGAATAAGATTGAACTGCACTACATTCCCTGGACAGAGTGCTGTCTGCAGCCAGGTCTGCTCGCTGGGTACTTAGTCCAGGAGAATATTCAGGTGTATTGTAAATATCCATCGATACCGTTTCAGGCTGATTTCAACAGACATTACGAGGTAAGCCTTCATTAACGCTTACGTGTAAATGGCATGCAAAAAAAATATTATTATTATGGTTTAGGTGCCTCATTAGGAAATTGGCAAGGACATTTACTATAACAAAAAATGCAACTAGCGCTGAGTGTTACTGGATGACTTGAGGTGATGTTTAATGAATGCTTTCTGTGCTAGCTGGAGTTTGAGTGGCATTTCAGACAGCTACATGGATTTTAAAGACGCTGCATTTCCCAGTACTAAGACTTCATTCTTTGTTAGTGTAGCAATTGTCACAGTGCTGAAGCAAATTTTGTTTTGTTGTTGGCGAATGCATGTTGTGTAGTATTTAAGCTAAGCGTGCTTTCTCTCACTGTTCAGGGTTTCTTTCAAGGGAAGATAATGCCGACGGCTGTAAATAAAAATTCCGACTTGGAGTTTGACTCCTTACAACCTTGCTTCTATCCGGATGAAGATGATTTCTATTTAAGTGGCCCCGACTCTGCTCCACCTGGAGAGGACATCTGGAAAAAATTTGAGTTGTTGCCCACGCCTCCTCTCTCCCCGAGCAGAGCCGGCATCCCTGGGGATGCGGCTTCTGTATCTAGCGACTCGGCTCCGCCGGGGTTCGGATTAGCAAGCCCTTTGGAGTGGGCGTCGGAGCTCCTTCTGCTTCCCGAAGATGATATTTGGGGGGCGTCGGACGGAGACCTGTTTGGGAGCGCTTTGGAAAGTAACCTGAACTCTATAATTATCCAAGACTGCATGTGGAGTGGATTTTCGGCCCGGGAGAACCTCGAACGAGCGGTGAGCGAGAAGCTGGGGAAAGCCATTTCCACGGCCGCCAGCTGCGGCCAGAGGATCGGCAGGGACGATAAGGCGGCGGAGCTGGGCGCTCCCGTTCCGGAGTGCGTGGATCCCGGCGTGGTTTTCCCCTTCCCCGTTAACAAAAGTAACAGCAGTAGCAGCAGCAATAGTACAAGTGCTCCCGGGACAGCACCTTCGGCGGCTGCCAAACGCAATGCTGACGACACCCCAAGCGACTCCGGTAAGATAACTAAGGATACTTCCGACATGTTTGCATGTGCGATGTCGATAAGGGATTATCTCATTGTCAGGTACGCGTCCAGGCTTAACAAAGTGGACGAACTTTATGAAGCGAGCATTAGGCACGAGTAAGAGGATTCCCTACTGCACGATTTTTTTGCAGTTATTTGCAGTTTTTGCATTCATAGAATAGGCAAATAGGCTTATTCTACCAACAAAAAAGTAATAGATGGCGACATATATCATTTATTAGTCTTATTAAGGAGTTCCCGTAGTTATTACTGACTATTGTTATCACTGATCACATGCACATACTTGCTCACTGCAGCGTTAGTTTTAATTCACGATCACGTGTAAAAAAACTACATAAGGCGTGGGAACCGATGTAATACGGCGCGTGTCATCCGCGCGCGCTTCATCCAGCAGATGGCAGTAATAATTGTTTTCTGGGTTTGACATATTAAATATGAACTTAATCCCGACTCGGGTTGTGTTCGCGGGCATATCAGACACCCATCACTCACCTGCGTGAATTTGGAGGAGCTGCTTGGATAAGAGATGGATACTTTATACTACATGAACACGATCAGTCTAAAGGCATGGGTACTTCTTTAGGCATCTGTTTGTTTGTTTATTTATTTATTTGGCACACCCCCGTCACATATAGACCAGGTGGCAGTGATCACAGTTTTTAAGGTTGAATGCTGTAACCTAATTCACCATTGGCCGATACTTTTGTCCTGCACGTTTTATCCGACATGTTTGATTATTTAGCCATAAAGAAGAAAACATGAAAGAGTCAGCGGAGGCTATTAAATACTTTGCAGCAGGTTGGGTGCTGGACGTGGACTGGCTGGATCGGATAGTTTAAAGTCGTTGCTCTGCTGTAATGCCCTAGGTATTCACATATCTTGGCTCTAGTAAGATACCCAGCTGCTTAAAATCTGCACGCAGTTGCTTTTGAATAAAGTGTCAGGAAGAGCAGTAAATAGCTGACGCAGATGGATACGCATTCACCCTTCGGCTTTGTACGTCGGGGCGGTTTATACCCCCGATCTCACTTCAGCGTGTGTGTGTGTGTGTGTGTCCCGTCCCCCCCATTTCAAGAATTGAAATAGCATGCGGGTCGCTTAAGGGGAGCAAATGGCTGTGGTTCGCGGCTCTTTGTGTGGCAGCTTCGCTTCACATGGAGAGTAAAAGGAGCCACGGCTCGGCAGGCTGACGGGAGAGCGGCCCGGCCCCGAAATGGGCTCCTGTCTCTTTAAAGTCTGACGGCTTTGAACAAGCGCTGCCTCCCAACAGCTGTCTGCCTGGCGCGGCTCCAGAGCGCCGGCTTACGGAGAACCTCCAACTGGCGCTGCGGCGACCTTCACATGGACTCATTCTGGCTCTTATGGGGCTTTCCGGTGCTTTCAGCACAAGGCATGATCCTTTTTTAAGAGCCTCGTATCAGACTGAGGTTAAGGAAGAGAAGTGGGTGGCTTTTTTGCCTGCAGTCTGAGCGGTTGGGTTTGCGTGCGAGCAAATCTGTGTCGGCGTCTCCTCGCTCCCCCTCTCACTGGTCTTTGAGAAAGACTAAACTGTCAGATGTTTTCTCGTCTTTCTTAGATTATTTGTCAGAAAAACATACAAGAATTGCGGCTGACATCGTAGCAGCCCGGCACTTGTATAAAAACAGCAAAATACGGGAGCGGGCTCTGAAATGCATTGTATTTGTCATTGAATAAATATTTATTTTTAAGCAGAGTTAATAAATCACGAAGATTTAAATGGTATATTTGATTTTCCCTTCACTGAAGCCAACATTTGTTTAATTTTAAATGTGAAATGGAAACAAGAAATCCAGAGTCTCCAGGGATATGTAATTTGGTCAAGTTGCATCAGACTTGGCAGTGGCTGTGGGCTGGATAGATAACTGCATTTTGTCAATAAGTTCTCCCCCAGGTAATGACATTGAGCAACCATCACCGTGACCCCAGCAGGCATGTTGCTTTTAACACACATATCCCCTGTCGTTTATGTTCCCTGAAAAAAAAAAAACAAGTAAATCATGCCGGTCTCTTGGTTTCCCTCCAGATGATGATGACGATGATGATGATGATGATGAAGATGAGGAGGAGGAAGAGGAAGATGAGGAGGAAATCGATGTTGTGACAGTGGAGAAGAGGCGGTGCGGAGCCGGCAGGACCAAGGCGGGGCCCAGTGGCCAGAGTGCGGCCCGCCCCCCGCAGGAGCTGATCCTGAAGCGAGGCGCCCCCATCCACCAGCAGCACAACTACGCGGCGCCGTCACCCTACGCGGAGGAGGAGGATGCCCCCGCGCCGGCGAAGAAGGCCAAAGGCGAGCCCCCGCGGGCCGGCAAGGCCGGTGGCAACGTGCCTCCTGCAGCCGCCCCGCAGAGGTTGCGAAAGAACGACAGCCCACGGGGCTCCGATTCGGAGGACAGCGAGCGGCGGAGGAACCACAACATCCTGGAGCGCCAGCGGCGCAACGACCTGCGCTCCAGCTTCCTGCTGCTGCGGGACCACGTGCCGGAACTGGCCCGCAACGAGAAGGCAGCCAAGGTGGTCATCCTGAAGAAGGCCGCTGAGTACCTGTGCACCCTGGAGGATGACGAGCGTCGGCTGCAGCTGGAGAAGGACCGGCTGCAGGTTCGAAGACAGCAGCTCATCAGGAGGCTGGAGCTAGCCAGGACTCGCTGAGCACCAACCCAAACCCCACCCCCAAGGACCCTCACTGCCATTTTTGCACATTTTTTGACATTACGAATGTTGGGTTAGAGTTCAGTCCAGTCACAAAAAAACAAAACAGTGAAAAGGGGACTGGCCCCCCTTTTTTATAAGCAACTTTTTTATTCAGGTTGAGCTTGACACAGGTCTTACTGTTTCATATCAGAGGTGGTGGGCCGAACAGTGAGAGTATACCCACAATCCTCCACGTTGCCTTCACAACTTCACCACAAAGCCACAAAGGACAGCAATGCCATATACTTCGGTCATGATGTTATCTTCATAATATCGGAGTCGTTCATTCCTTCAGTCTCACTGGTGCTCAAAGAATGGATGTATTTTGGTGCACCTTGATATTATACATCCTAAACTTTTGTAAATACTATTTACACAGTCTGCCTTTTTGTATACATTTGTCCTGTTTTTATGTCAAAGATGCCAATACTAGACTGGAATTTTATATACCTGGAAAGTACTGTAATGCCTCAATGTTTGAGGATCATAAGACTTGGTAATATAACAATATATTGTTTGTTTTTTTCTATGTACATTACTAATTCTTACACACCTCTATACTTTAGTGTGATGCTGAAACATACTAAATTTAATGCTTATATTTTCGTATGAAAATGAGTTCTGAGTAGATATTACTTTATCCCCTTGTTCTTTTACTCTATAAACAGTTACTTTCTTTTTTATCTTTGTTTTTTATATGTGTTACTTCTGGGTGCATAGAACTGGGTAAACTGATTTTTTTTAAAAATATGTACACTTAGTGCTGCAGCTTATAGCACTTTGAAATACCTCATGTTTAAAAAAATAAATAGACAATGAAAAGGAATGCGGTAGTGCATCCGGCTGAATCGTTACCACCGCTAACGAGGCCCCCGCTCACCTCCACAGCCACCCGAAACGGATCGGCAGCGTGCTGGCCTTTGTTTGTGGGCTCTGAAAGCTTTCATTGAAACCACTTTTCCCTGAATATTTTCAATACCTTTGTGGGCAGGGGGGGGGGGCGGGGGCTGAGGGTGGTTTGGGGGCAGAGCAAGCTTTTTCCTTTCATGTTTACAAGTTTGATATTTCAGGATTTTTTTTTTTTTAAACGTGACTCGAAACTCGATATTCTTTTGTGGGGGGGGGGGGGGGGTCGTCACTCCAAGCGTGGGTTGGCTTGTGTAATGAGCGAGGAGGCTTACTGTGATTGACGGGATCAGGTTTGACAGCCCAGTTGACGGCCTCGGTGGGGGGAGGGGGGCTGGGTGGGGGGCCAGAGAGATGGTGGGTGTGACACAGGACCACCAGCTTTTCTCCTGTGCTCACCAAGCAGCGTCTCACTGGACGACCCGATTTGCTCCATGTTGTTTCCTCACAACATGCAGGAACTCAGGAAACACAGATTAACACTTAATTAGGTCTCAATACTGAGTCACGATGGGGGAGGGCAGGCTGAACATGGAGATAATTCATTTAGCGAGTCTTGTTAAAAAGCAATCAAATTATCAGCGCATAATACCGTTGGTGAAGCTGAGGTAATCCTTCAGAATGTCACATTTATTTAGCATTCCGGTCACTAAGCGTTTCCGAATTCTTTCTTGCATAAGAGAGGCGACCCTTTTGAAAGTCACCCGGCTGATTTTCCCACCTCTGGTTCGTTATGTAATGGCAGGCCCCACCTCTTGGGCCTGATGAAACATTCATCTTCCCGTGAAAGCAGGTCACTCCTCATCCTCGACCGCGTTAGCTCACCTCCTTTGTCGAGCACATGTGTGATAATGCCGCTCTGGATCCAACTCCATCCTACACCTTCACTGCCAGCTCCCACAATCCTCGCCAGTTACCTTCCAGTCAGAACACACAGTCTTAATTTTTAAGTGTCAGTAAAAATTCATGCTGCATGATTATTTCACAGTGGTAATTAATACTACCACCATCATTATAGGAGGTATTTTGGTACATTTAGCACATCAACAAATAACTGTTAAAAACTTAAGTGTTTTAGGTTAAGACCTCGCTTAGCAATTGACTTTCTAAAAGAAATCTTGCTAGATAGTTTGTTCTCTTTCACTTGTTGGAGTTTGTGACTTTCCAGTTTGTTGCATGTTGGTGCTATGCTGGTCCACTGGTTAGACCACCCAGTGCTGAAGGTTTGAACCCTGTCTCTTTGTACTTATGACCAGGCATCCTGTCCAGGGTGTTCCCTGTTTCATTCACTGCCCTTCCCAGGATGCACTGCGTGCTCAGAAATGACACCGTACCAGATACAGAATAGGATGGAGAATTTATTAACCACTAATGCCGATGTTTATAGTTACATTCTTAATTTCTTTGTCATTTTAGAGCATTGAGAGCATTAAAACATTAATCGCATTCAGAAATATGTCACATGATTTCTATAGAAGCCTTCTTTGCAGTGGTTGACCTGTAATTGTCAGTTGCAGGTAAGGAGTCTGTAGTCCGACGTAGTGTAACGTTTCACACAAGCTCGCGTCAGTGTCATCCTTCCTGCCCTCATTGTGAGACTGATTTATTTCTGTAGCTGCAAACGCATCGCACAAAGGCGAGTAAAAGGCATCACAGTGTTTGTTAGTAAAGGTTACACGCTCTCCGGCTTGCGTCGCTTTGTGCTGGCGGGGTTGCCATGGAAACTGACGCAGCTGCCGAGCAGGAGAGATGGGCCGTATTCTTGTTTATTTTTTTTCGGGAGAAATCAGTCCCTCCCCACGCGACCTGCAGCAAGTGGCTGTGATGTGAGTTGGGTCGAGGGAAAGTATTTACCATTTGGCTCACATTGAGTAAATAATGAACCAAAACCGTTTTCTCTGGAAACCTATAAGGGGCCAAAGGTGGCAAGTTCATGTCCAGAAAGTAAAAATCCAGACCAAGGTTTTGTTCCAACCAACCAGTTCAGTGACTGTGACTGTAACTCTTTATATTCAACTGGTTGGTTGAAACAAAACCTTGGTCTGGATTTTTACTTTCTGGACATGAACTTTCCACCTCTGCAAGGGGCTTTCGCTGTGTCTGTGACTATGTATACTTGTGTAAGAGAAAGTTAAGCTCTTTTCTGGAGAAATGCAAAATATAACATAACGTGTTGTCTGATTAACGATGTGCCTGAATCACACAGAATTTTGGGGTCTTGAAACAGAAGCAAAACAAGCTCCCAGTTGTTGAGGAAAGCCAGAAAATAGCCAATAAATCTCGTTTCATAATGGCTGGAGGATTCTGGGAAAAACACAGCCACTGCTAATCTTCAAATGAGGCTTCCACAGCAAAGAGTCACATGTCACGACTTCCTTGGAACCAAATGTGTCAGCTTTTCAAAACATCTGCTTTGCCCCCCACCGCCGCTGCCATGCTGCAAGTTTGGTTAGCGGCCCTCGATTCCGAAGCCGCTCCACACTGGCTGGTTTCCATTCCCGAATGTTCCAGAAGTCACTGTACCGTTCCCTGTTATGGCAGTGCATCACTGCATTTCTCCAACTTGATGTGGGTGAAATTAAAAATAAGCTGTCGAACTTCATCCATCCAGCTTCCGGCCATGTGTCCTGGGCTGGGTCGTCGTGGGGGGGCCTAGGGCCTATCACTTTATTTCTGAAAGCACCCTCACCTCAGGAAGGCAATTAAATGTGCCATTTGCAGTGAGCATGACAGAAAATGACAGCACATGCACATGTTCACATTTACTTTTGCCAAGTTTGTGACATGAACTGCACATCCCTTCTTCTGTGCTATGAACCAGGTGTTGTCTATACTGCAAGTGTAACCGCATGGAAGATGATGAATAAATGCCAACCCGATGAAATGTGGTGGTAATATTAAACTATTGCAGTACTTGTATGAAGAAAATCAGCACGGGGAATATAAGGGACACCACCAATAATGAGATGGTAAACAAAATTTATTTTATTAAATCCTCACCTGCAGGAATGACACTGACGAGATCGCTAGGTAGTGGGTGGATATGCACTTCCCAAAATGGTCAAATTGCCACTTAATTATTCTGCGTTATGAACAGTAATGGACGTTTATGCAAATTAACGACCATTCAGAATAGTGACATGAAGCCTGACAGTCATCTATCACCCCTGCTATGAAATTCATAGCAGGGGTGATAGAAAACTAAAACAAAAGGATAATAAATTAATTAAAAGCAGTGGATAAGATTTAAATGTTGCAACATATAATCTCACGCAGTAACATTTGAGTTTTCAGCTCGTTTCTGCCTCTGAGTCTCACATAACTGAAATGAACTTGTGATTAATTCTCGTCTTTGTTGTGTGGCCCCCTGCAGTCAGAATGTGGTAAAAGCGCCTATGGCTTTACCTCACAGGAGAAGTAAAGTCTTTATGTCCGTTACAGCATTCTGGCAGACATGAATGTGCTAGACATACACATTTTTTTTTCTTGTGAAACTGTGTTGTTCATAACACGGCTGTTCAGACAGTGTTGATTTAGCACTGTTACCTTAAGCAACCCCGGGAATGTGAGTATGAAACTGAAATATTACCTGCTAAAAAGGATTAAAAATAATAAAAAATTAAGCCAGCCTGTAGGAGCAGGGTCACTGGGCTTCCAGCTTTGTGTCCAAGTCATCATTCCCAGCCGGGCAGTAGGCTTCCTTCCTGCTTGTTCCAAGAACGAAGTCTTCTCGTAGGTGTAAAACTGGGGAAAACAACACCCCCCCCCACCCCGGTAGATAGGTATGTGTGCGTGTGTGTGCGGTTTGTGTGTGACCGAGCGTGTTCCAAAAGAGAAACAAGCACTTCGTATGCGCCACTTGTGGCTACTTTACGCGCTGCCGCTAATCCTGGCAAATATGCATGATTATAATAAAAAAATAAAATAAAGAGGGGAATGCCAGTTCCCGGCTGTCCACTGTATATTTGCCAGGACCCGCTATTCATGGCCGGGGCAGCCATCTGCTGTATGGTGTCGCAGGTGCTGGCTGGGGGGACATCGCCCGCTCTTCACAAAGCGTCATAACATGACACAAAGGGCCAATGTTCCACCATAATTGCTAAACACATAAAGGAGAGCAGGCCGCAGCTCCTGATCAAAGTTTTTACCGAAAACGGGTGACATTTGCATACAGATGGCGATGTGGAGGTCGCTGGTTCGGCACGGGCCCCCCACCCCCGGCCCCCTCCTCTGGGAGGCGGAGACGGGGGCTGGCGGGAAGGCAGCCCGGAGCACAGCATGCGAGCGGACAGCGCGCGCCATCCACGTAAGGCCACCGTGAATGGAGAGCTCTGTGGCCACACGTACATTACGCCGGCACGCACGTCTAAGGCATGCACACACAGAAACGCTCACGCGCACAGAAGAAGCCCCCCCCCCCCCCCCAACATACAGACAAGTGTAAGCATCTGTACACACACACGCTCTCTTATTGAGGCATTGTGGGGTGTGTACTATCCAAACTCGCTGAAATGCTTGTTAAGGACTGGTGTCTGAAAGGATGACCTTGGCTTTGGCAAGAATGGAAGGCTGGAATCAAATAGATGTACAAATGCAGAGAGGAGAATGGGAGGGAGGGACAGACAGGGTGCCAATATTCATCTCCCTGCAAAATAGTCCACCCTTTAATTAGAAAAAGTGACATCCTGAATCAGCCAGCAACAAATCTGCATTTACTTCTTTGATGTCTTAACTATGCCAACTATGGACCTTAGGATGGGTAAGACCAAGGACGTCCCTGAGATATGCGTTTAAGAGTCCTGCCATCAAACTGTAAACGTGAGGTGATGTTTTAATCATTCTCCCCATAGCACGCGGGTCAGAGCCGGTCGTCGCACTGAAGCCCCCGGAAGCAGACCCAGTCCCCGACGTATCTGCCAG